ATACTTTTTGTGGTATTTTCGCCTCATGCTCCCATTCATTTCCAACCCTGGTTTGTGTGTATTGGCCCCTTCTGTTGCAAGGTCCATTTCAAGAGAACCGGGTGAAACATAGCAATTAGCAAAGGCCACTAAATGCTTGTGAGGTCCAAAAAGTCCTTACTACTAAAAAATGGGAGAGAGAGAAAAAAAGACTAAACACCTTTAAGTGATATGCGTTCAAAACTAGATCAACATTGGCTGTTTGTTGGCCCAGGAACAACATTTCAGTCAAAAATATTTCAGTTAACCTGAACCCTACTTGTACAAACCCGAAGCATAACCTACTCCTAAAATTTGAGGGAAAATGTCATCCGTTATAAGCAATGCTGTACAAGCATAACTCTAACCCAAGCCTATTCTAACATTAGCCTTAAACCCAGCCTTGAAATCTGAGTGGCATAGGGATGTTGTTGCAGGACCAACAAGGATGTTGATAGAGGAAACCTGTCCTGTAATCACATTCCCCTCTATGCACATATCCCTCAATGTAAGCTGCAAATGTGCTCTTTGCCACCTTGTATGTCCAACATACAGTATTTTTTAGCCATGTAATCCAGTAATAGTTCCTAAAATATTAAGATATTAAGTCAAATCAAACCTTTCTACTTCTCTACTATATTAAGGTCATCACTGCTCACTGTTGTGTGGCGCCCTCTACTGGATAAACACCTGAACCAAATCTTTGAAATACTGTATGCAGTGACCCTAACATTTGGACACCCAAGCCACACTTAAAACATGTATTTGCATTATTTAACAAATTATAGCACAAGCACACTGTAAGTGGCACTGTGAATTCAATTAAGTGCACTTGTCCTTATGTATAGCACTAAAACTGTCAAGATCCAAAAACAAACCCTACAAGACCAGGGTTTATGTTACTCCTGATGAACCTCAAATGTGAACAAAGCCATAGACCCCCAGATATGATGCTCCTCTTGTAAGGCACCCATTTTTACTTTGTAAAAAAAAAATTAAAAAAAAAAAAATTCATTAAAGCTAATGAATCCAATCCGATTGCATATTTTGAAAGTTTTTGTTTATATTAATTGACCCTAAATTTTGTAATCCGATTCAAATTTTTGTTTACATATGTATTACATGCATTTTTGACAAAACTTCAGCGCATGCACAGTGCCCAGTCACTGAGCACCTTAGTGCTTATTTGGGGACATTTCAGTCTCTTTTTCGATGGTTTGCTCCATGGGTAACTTATATACTTCCTATTGCAATATCATAAACCTTTCAAGCAGGTCGTTGGACTTGTCCTGTCAGGACAAAAGGACAATGTAAGGAACGGGCCTCAGAGAACTGGACACAAGCTAGCCCCATCCCATCGTCTCTGGTTACTCAACATAAGGGAGGGTAGTGACTTTGTGTCAGTTGCTGACGTGGGGGACGTTCTTCTTTCTCAGAGAAATGCTGAAGCCTATGACGCCAATCCACACGATTGGCCAATGATGTTCAAGCATGTCAACTGGAGGCGGGCCTTTCCGCTATATAAGGAGGCGCTGAACAGTCAACAAAATAAGTATAGCCTACTTCAAGTTCCTTTTATTAAGTATCATTTTGGTAAAGTTCAAGTATATTTTTAAGTATACTTTATGTAGTAAGAGTATACTAATATCAATGTAGTATTATACTTGTAAGTGTACTGTTTTTAATACTAGTGGGACTAAATTGGCCCACTTTTAGTATATAAAAGTATACTTTTAAGTGTACTATAAGTGTAACAGTAGTAAGCTTTGAGTTCACAGCTAGTTTACATCTATGTTTTTTGGTTGTACTGCAATTGTACTACAAGTGCACTTATACTGATAGTTTACTAGTCAAATACTTGTAGCACATTTTTTAGTTTATGAAAGTAGACTTTGAAGTATACTCTCATTAAATACTCTCATTAAACCATACCAACATAACCAGTGTTCGAGAGTGACTAGTTACATGTAATAGAGTTACGTAATTTAATTACAAATTAAATGTAACTGTAATCAGTTACAGTCACTGTGAAAAAAATTTGTAATTAAATTACAGTAACTTATGAAAATGTTAACGGTTACATCTGAATATTTTCTGTAAAAATCTAGGATATGTTGAATAATAGGCCTATTAATTTTTGGCTTTGCCTGTTTTTGATGTGCATGATGCCTCCTGCCATTTAAAGCTTTGGACTATATCTGCCAATTACATCAATCCACATTGCCACTGAAATCTTTAGGCTATTTTTATCACTGTCATGGTGGTTACTGTCTGAGAGACAGGTTGTCTGCAACAGAAAACAGCTGAAAGGTTGCTTTCACCGGCTGAATTGTTCACTGCGTTCCACTTTCGGACTAAAAATATATCTGTGCAGAAGTTCTAAAATTGACCAGAACTATAAGTTAATACAAATTGTATGCCTAAAATATTTGATAGCTCTGATCCTCAAACTTGATTGGTAAGCAGCACTGGGAGATGTCTCTGTTAGTATCACCCTGCTTGTGTGTTCGCAGCAATAGGCCTCATATTTACAGACTAAAGTGAATGTTCATTTTATGTTCACTTGCTTTTTTCCCCATAATTCCAGCACTTTTAATAGCATTTGTGTAAGCATTTATTTCATTGGTTGAAGCCTTTGAGAAAAACCCTAGATTCATGTGAAATGGCTTTGACAGTTTCAGTTTCCTGGACATTCACAGCAATATAAACTTTGGTATAAGTGTTGTAAACATGCTTTACATGTGTTAACACACTTGGCAAGTACTAAATCAGCAGGGCACTAAATGTGCAGACCAAGTAAAGAAAGAAAGCAGGCATACTGCAATGCTGCTCTGTTTCCACTTGAGGTTTAGACAACCGTGAGAACTGAGATGCATAAACTTAAAGGTTTTGGAAAAACACTGCCCTCGGTTAACAGTTAAACCTCCACTCTAGACAAAGGTGAGAGTCGCTGGCTGTGCCCAAGACAGTGGAACATGTTTATGGTTTTGGTTTAGCACTTCAATTAAGTTCAGTTAAAAACACCAATGCATAGTGTTACTTTTTTACTTAACAAATTGCATAATATCTGTATTACTGTACTGTATAGAAACCTATATTAATAGACATTTTGTTGTACATTATACTATATATCAGTTATGCCAGGCCATTTCCAATAAACCATTCTTTTTTTCTTTTTTTTTTTTTAATTATTGATTTACAATGAATCTGGAAATGGTGCTTAATGTATGTCTGTGTTCACTATAAACGCCAATCAATTTGGCCATCAATATGGACATTATTTTATTTCACATTGAAATTTCATTGACTTGTCTTTGTTATTGAAGTAAAATGCTGTTTACACGAGGAAGTATAGGAAGTAGCATTACTAGAGGGACTGTATAGTGATACCAGCAAAGAACGTTTTTGTAGATTATTAAAGTGACATTCTCAAACACACAAAAACATACACAAAAATATATATTTATTCATGATGAAGCAGCTTTATAAAGGTATATTATGACTGAAAGGCTGGACTGTGTTCTCATAATAAAGTTGTTTTCCTCAATGTTTCCTAAAGTTTTCACATGGGATTTAAATATTGTTCTTTTATATTAATTATATATTATTTATATATTGTGAAACTAATTGTAAAGTTCATGTAGATCTAAGAATGGAAAGTGTTAAAGGCATGTCATATCAATATGATTTTGAGCATGAGTCAAAAATAAGTACATTTAAAGGGATAGTTCACCCAAAAATGGAAATTCTGTCATCATTCACCCTCAAGTTTCTTTCTTCTGCTGAACACAAACGAATATATTTTGTTTATATATTTTTGTTGGTAACCAGACAGTTGACGGTAGCCATTGACTTGTATGGGGAAAAAAATACTATGAAAGTCAATGGCTACCGTCAACTGTCTGGTTACCAACATTCTTCAAAATGTTCAGTTGAAGAAAGAAACTCATACAGGTTTGCAATAACTTGAGAGTGAGTAAATGATCACAACATTTTTATTTTTGGGTGAACTATCCCTTTAAAGTAAAAGAATGAGAAAATCGAGAAAATATTTCTGCCATTCATTTGCGAGCACATTTCTTCTTATTTGAATACCTAAATATACTTGGATGTTTTCTCAATATAAAATGCATTTTAAAAAAACAACAGACGGACTCTTCACATTCTCATTTTGTTTCACAAAAAAAAGAAAAAAAAAGAGAAGAAAAAAACCTTGAGAGCTGAGTTCGAGAAAAGTAGGTTGACAAGCCACAACATTTCACAATAGCAGACTGTATCATCGTATTGTCATTTAACTAATTCTGTTTTTCCTTTTTTTTTATCAATATTATTTTATACAGGCATTAATTGAAACATCTTGACAAAATAAATAGTCTTCTTTATTAAATTAATTGTTAAATAAATTTACTTCTTGGTCTAAAAGCATGGAAAACTCAACCAAAGCAGGTTTCACAAAAATAATGAATAATGTGCACACACTCTGAAAAAAAAAAAAAAATACACTTCGATAACTACCACAATACTAAAATATACTAAACTTGTATACTAAAATAAGTACTAAGTATTAAGTAACTACGGACACTTACTATAGAACTACTATAGAACTACTATTAGGGTTTGGTTTAGGTTAGTATAATTTACTGTTATTACTATAGTAAATACACATAGTAATGTGTAACTACATCACCTTAAAATAAAGCGTTACCCAAAAGTCTTTCAACTGACAAAAAAAGAGAAATAGACCAACTAGTAAACATAATTTCATCTGCAACAGGAGTTTTTAAAGATTTTTATTCCACCAATCTACACATTATTACAGTTTTGTTGGATGTACACATAAGGAAAAATATAAAACTATAGCTGTCAATTCATTAAAACACTTATTTCAATGTCAATTCATTAAAATACTCAACCAGTCTTTAGAAAGAAGAATGAAATATTAATAATAATATTAAATTTAGTTGATTTTGATGTTATTTTTTTATTTTGTTTTTTTCAGTCTTTTCCTCCGACCCCAGTTTCAAAACACCTGTTTTAAAATTATTTTTAGAAGTTTCAGAGTGAACAAAGTGAACAAAATAAGTATAAGATCAGTCATACGCGTGTGTTCATGACTTCGGCAGGTTTAGAGCTGCATATGTGCTGTTGATTTGGCTGGGCCGAATATTTCTACGCAGCTTCGAAAAATCCATCGTGGCGTACTGAAAGAACAATATTAGCAAATTCAGCTACAGTTGACTAAAATTAACTAAAATGAAGGTAAATAGAACATGTTGGAAAAACAGGTCAGCAGGAATCCTTAATATTATTAAGACAGAAATGAGATTTGTTGTTGTAAGGATGGGTTTTAAGTTTATTCTTACCTGTAAGTCGTGCTCTTCTGTAACTCGCGTCTGCTGTATATCAGTGTTGAGTTGTGATTCTTCTGCAGACCTTCTGTTTCCAACAACAAAAAACTTTACCAGTCCTAAATATGGAACAGTGAATTCAGATTTCAAAGGTTGCATTATTCTTTTTAATAATAATGAAATAGTCAAAAGCCTAAATAAATAATATTTACATATTCAATTAACTTCAGCTGGCTATATATGGAGAAAAGCATGATATGAATATTTTTAAAAATGGCTGAAAATCTCTCACCAATCAGCACAATGAGCAGAAGCCCGTTCATCAGTCCAGATATGATGATAATAATCTGCCATTGTGTGTGATTCTGATCAATAAACTCCACCGCTTTCTGATTGTGACACTCAATTGTATTATTGTAACACTCAGTTACTTCAGTTGATTCTGTAAAGAAAGTGTCCAGTCTCTTACAGCAAAAAAAGATTTAAAGCACTGAGAATTATGATAACATATTGCTATTTATTAATATAATTATGTTTTTCATATCTAAAAATGTATAATAGCAAGTATGTATGTAAGCAGTGATCATCAGTATGTCTTGATCACTAAAAAAGTAAATGTTGCACTTACTGTTGAAGTGCAGTCTGGTGCTGTTGCTGAGTTTTGGAGGTGTGCCTGTTTTCATACAGTAATAAACTCCTAATTCATCAGCGGTTACATTATTAATAACCAGACGGTGTTTAAATATCACAGAATATTTATTTCTGAATGCATTATTTGTGTAAAAAGGTGATTTTGGTGTTGGAAATGACCGTAGAATCACTGTTGGAGGATCTGGTGTTTTCAGTAAAATCCAGTAAACCTCATTTTCATCAAGATCGCAGTTTATGGTCACATTTGATCCCACATCAGTGAGTTGATCTGATACTGCAGCTCGACAACAGATTAACACATCTATAAGATAAAAACAACAACAACGTAAGATTACTTTTACTTGAAATTTAATATAATTTTAATAAGTTTACAAAGCCTGTATATATAGCCATATCACATAATAAACTCACAGAGCTGAAGCTGAATGATCTTCATGTTGTCGAGATTAAAACACTTCAATATGATTCTACTTCCCTCTACACAACATTAAGATGAATCTACTGCAGCTCTGAAGAAAAGACAGGAAGACAAAAAACCTTCCACATCAAGCGGAGGAAGTCAAAGTCAAACTCACTCTGACCACACTTTTTTTCAACATCTAATGCCCTTATTGCCATCCCCACTTTATTAATCATTTAAAGGGATAGTACGCCCAAAAAAAAGAAAGTTCTGTCATCATTTACTCACCCTCATTAACTCATACAGGGTTGGAACAACTTGAGGGTGAGTAAATGATTTTGAAACAATTTTCATTGGGTGAACTGTCCCTTTAAGCATGTTTTTATATTTGATCCCGTTACAGTTTTTCCCGGTAAATTTCTCAGAACACAATTGAAATTCTCAAAATTATTGTCCAACCTCCACATAATCTAGTCACTTATGCACATCATAAAAGCAATTTAACATTCTTTTTAACAAATTGCCAATCATGTGGTGTGTTGTGTGGGTTTGGAGGGTGTTGTCTGGATCCAGGCTCCGCCCATAGCCGCGGGAACGTATTTTGAGCAGGGGTGCTGAGGTGGGGGGTGCATAAAGGCTGATATATACTTCTGCGTCGGACCTACGTCGTAGGCTACGTGTCGGTTTTCATGTACACTTCTGCGTTGTTGTCCGTGTCGACGCACAATTACACATGCAGACCACTAGTAGGCAGTGTCCACGGGCATGTTGATGGGTAACCCACAGTATGAAGGCAAAAGCCAAAGAAGAACCAGCTTGTTGTGTATGTTGTTGTTGTTGGTAACACAGTCTCATCCCAAGACGTCATCTATCTGACGCTTTTGGCCATACGTCAACATCCGACGTTTTAGGGTACCATTTAATGTCAGTTAGATGACGATCCTAGGGCGTCATCTAACTGACGCTTTACCTTTAGCGTCAGTTGGATGACGCGGGTAGGTTTAGGTCTGGGGTAGGGTTAGGATTAGATAGCGTCATCTAACTGACGTTAAAGAGTACCCTAAAACGTCGGATGTTGACGTATGGTCAAAAGCGTCAGACAGATGACGTCTTGGGATGAGACTGGGCTGTTGTTGGAGAAGCAGCAGCAGTAATGGCGGCAAATAGACAGCAACTTTTGTTGTAGCTTGAACTGTTACATATCGAATAACAGATCATTTATAATCCGCAAGCGGAAATGCGTATGAGGAAGTGCGACGCTATCGCAGATTATTATTATTTTTTTTACTTGAGGGAGGGGTTCTAGCAGACCAATCACAGTGCTTGCGGTCCAAGTAGAATTGAAACGTTGTTACATTTTTGGAGAGGTGCACGTCAGGCTACGCCATAGGCTACGCATGCTACACACAGCCTACAACGTGGCAACGGCGTGAGTTTGATGCAGAAGTGTAAATCTTAATGTCATAATGGGCACGGCACAGAGCAAGAGAAGCAGCGCAGAGTCGCATGAGTCATGTGACAAGAGTGATACACAATGATTGACAGGACAATACCAGAAGCAAGATAATTTTTTTTACAAAAGTGCCATTTCTTTGTTTAATAAAAGTGAATTTGTCTGTTTTATAGTTATAACTTATCATTCGTTTTGAAGTGAGGGGAAAATCCAAAGACCTTTCATTTATTTGTTACAACCAAGGGGCAACCTTCCAGTCTCTCTCTTGAAACCAACACGGAAGTGACTTAACTGCAATTCATCGACTGGCCGCTAGAGACAGGGTCCAAAAGAGAGTCCATGTTAAAATGCCCAACTTTAAAGCAGAAAAAAATATGTTTACAGCCTGGTGCAAAACGTGGTTTTGGTCTATATAGCTAATTTTGCCCTTCATGAGAACTGTGAGGGGGGTGAATTGTTTTATAACTCATCCATTTCAATTATATTAAGCCTTAAAGTTCTGCATAATTTAGGGTGTGGCCACTTGAGTGACAGGTTGATTGCTGCTGCTGTCACTACTAGCCGTTCATCTGCTGTCTGTTAGCCATTACGTCACCTCAGCTAATCCCGCCTTTGCCCATTTTCGGTTATCCGGGAGTGATGCGCGGTGACGCGCTGCCAAGTTGGTGACGGTCAGCTCCGTCCAATTTGGGCTTCAAAAATGTTCTTCAGAAACCTACGGGTGACGTCACGGACACTACGTCCATATAACAAGTAAGTTTGTCATTATACAATTTTTTTCATTAAGAATAATTATCGGTAACACCGGTGTTGTCAAAAGGTTATTAATTAAACAACCACATAAACACAGGTAATATGTATGCCTGTAATCAAAGCACAATCTCCAAACACATCTGCAGGCTGCACGATGACAGCACATAAAATCAACTCAGACCTACTGTATCAGCCAAAATAAATATATTTCCAATCAAGAAATATCTAATTGTCTTACTGCAGGCATGCATGTACAGCTTCAAATGTGGCATTTCTCTCCTGGTTGACGCTGATGAATTCCTGCATGAGGGCATCAATGTCCAAACTGTCTAATATATCTCCATGCACATGCATCAGAACAAGGTTGGTCAGTCTTTTTTGCGTCATGGTTGCGTCATGGTTGTGTGTAACCATGTCATCAGAGGGTGGAAAAATGTCCTCTCTGATAAAGCAGCTAAGACCATACACTTTAGACCATCTAAGTGAATGGTCAAAAGTGCACGGCGCAAGTGCACTTAGGGCGTGTCCCAATTCACTTTTGTCCAATTCATGTTATGGTCCCTGGTCTAGGTCAGGTAACATGAATGACAAACAAATTCTTCATATTACCCATATTTATTTTTCTTTTCTTGTTCTCTCGGCTGTTTTCAGAATGATATTCGTGGTTTTAACAAATCAATTTCTTTAAACAAAACAAATGAATAAGAAACAACAACCAAACAGTTTGGAAGCAAAAACTTCAGGGGTGAGCTATAATGCCTAAAACAACAAACAGAAACTAACTTCCCCGCAAGAAAAAAAACTAACTTCCTTATGAATCAGAATAAAAGAAACAAAACATAGAATGACATACCCTACCTCATTATCTAACCAATAAACAGGAGAAAAAGTAGTGGCCTTTTGGCCGACAAAATAAAAAAGGCACTACCCTACAACTTCTCAAATAATGACGAAGCTATACAGCATCAAACTGTAGCAAAATCAACTAACAGCACTCTGTTAAACACCACGAGAGAGAGAGAGAGAGAGAGAGAGAGAGAGAGAGAGAGAGAGAGAGAGAGAGAGAGAGAGAGAGAGAGAGAGAGAGAGAGAGAGAGAGAGAGAGAGAGAGAGATCCCAGAAATCTCTTATCACACAGCATCACAGCAATCAAAGATGAAGAGAGAGCACCCTCCAGAGGAATTCTGGGAAATGTATAGTCCGGAACTCTTCCTTGGTCCAATCATCAACAATCAACAGCCTCTCGTTACCTCCAGGACCAATCCTAGAGGAGGGAAAAAAAGAGACAGCAAGAACAACAGAAACAATGCAGCTACAATCTGTCACGAATGTAACACCCCACCCTTAAAATTACATTTGCTTATTTCTAACAATTAAACTCTTAATCCTCAAGCTTACATGTATGCGACAAGGCACATTCTCACAACCCTACTTGTGACACATTTCCAAATTAAAACCTTGTATCAAAAGAGACCAGCACATCAGTCTTTGGTTTGAATTTGACATTCGAAACAAAAAAAACTAATGGATTATGATCAGTGTAAACAAAGATGGGGACATTACAAGCATCAAGATACATTTCAAAGTGCGGGAGTGCAAGCAACAACGCAAGAGCCTCTTTTTCAATTGTGTGATTGTGTTGCTGCAACTTTGTAAATTTCCTTGAAAAATATCATATTGATCAATTGCCACAGCATCCTCCTGAATAAGGACTTAATAGGGACTTTAACGACTGGAAAAATGGTCGGCGCATGGTCTAAAAGGGGTTGTACCTCTTCTCTTTGAGAGCCACCAGATGGCACTCCACATCAGACTATTGCCATTCCCCCACAAACTACATCTCCCATAATTCTCTGCCTGGACTCATCAGCACTCATTATCACATTCACCTGTGTCTCATTATCTTGTTTAGTTCACCCCATATAGCCTGGTTCACCCCATCACTCACTGCAAAGTTTTGTATGTTGTTGCGCTGCAGTTCAGGGTATTCGCCCTTGTTTCATTGTCTCTTGGATTCCCTTATTGCATCTGTTGTTTGTTTGGACTGCCTTTGCCTGTGTTTGATTACGATTCTGGATTACTCTAATGAACTGCATTTGGATCCTCGACCTTGTCTTGGAGCAGTTTGTACCAGTAACGTGTGTGTTTTGGGCGCAACGTGCAATAAACCAATCAGAGTCTCATCTCCCATTCCCTTTAATATCCAGTTGTGCTCGCACCATGGCATTTAATTTGTAATATTTGGCATATTTGTGTGCTGCTGCGCGTCCCTGTGTGTGTAATAAGCAGAGTGTATGTTGTGGACACGCCGGTAACACTTTATAATAACTACACGCTAATAATCATTAGTTAAGCATGAGTAAACAGTTAATTCATCATTCATAAATCATTAATAGACATTAATAAGCAGTTTATAAATACAGCTATAAATGCTTTCTTCTTGATTTACAAGCATATCTATAATTTATTTAATAATTGTATTTTCATCCTGATCAATTTATTATTTCTAAATGATTAATTGCATTTTTTATAAACCAGTTATTTAAGAGTTTTCAGTGGTTCACAAGATTACTTAGAACGTGTAAGTAAACGATTAATAAACTATTTAAATGTACATTCATACATCTTAATATTCAGACATATAGTGATGGTTACTTAGTGTGTTAATAAATGCTTTATTAACATGTATTTAAGCTGTAATTCAGAGTTAATTCGGGTAGTTATAAAGCATTTCGTAGTGGTCAGTTAACTATGTTTGTGAGCTCATCTAAAGTGAGGACTATTCATGCCTTGTAAAGCATTTATAAAGGAGATTTAAAGGCTGTTAAATATTTCTATGTTGTGTATCACTGTGTTGTGTTTGTTACATTTTTCTGTTTAGAAGATTGATGCGCCTTTAAATCTCCTTTATAAATGCTTTACAAGGCATGAATAGTCCTCACTTTAGATTAGCTCACAAAATAGTTAACTGACCACTAC